CATACCATATTTTTGATGATATTAAACTTTTTACTAATTCGTTTGTCCTAAAGCAAACTAATCTAATTTTGTTTGATATTGGTTATTTTATGATTCAGCACTCAAATCACTAAGTACTTTGTTTTGTTAGTTCTATTTACCAACCACTTTGTTGTATTTTATTTTTGGCTATAAACATCGGAACATATATCCTACATAAAAATTTACCAAATTGTATAAATAGTCTTAACATGGATGAATTTTTTCTTTTACATTTTCTATAAAAATATTGGATAAATTTACATTATGGAACTCTTATTTGTCTTTTTTTTTGTTTGTTGGTCACATTCAAAAAATGTGATGTATAATATGTTATATTTTGCGTTTTGGTTTACTTTCAATTGTTCAGACTTCAGAGGTAAGATACTACAATAGTTTAATTTAATTCACCATCTTCATTACAAAATACACCCAGATAGCCTATCGCATAGATCCAAAATTTAAAAGAATTATTATTCCATGTATATTGTTAACTGTGGACAAATTACAAACATCAAGTTAAGAATCAAAATATAATTCATTAGAAAAACTCTTTGCCTGATTATTTCCAATAAAATTCTACATTGAATACATATTTCTATCAAGTAACATGGAGATTTTGTGATCCTATCAAATAAATATGCTATTTTAAAATAATTATTTTAGACTCCCTAGCATCTTTCTTTAGCAAACATTACTTCATCTTGACAACTTACATCTCCAGCAACTTTCATATTCGCCACTAACTCTTCATGCGTCTTCAATTGTGCAGCTTTTCTTAACGGAGCAAAACCATCTCAGATAAAGACAAGATCGGTATCAAACAATTATCTTCAACCATTTCTGTAAAGAACTTGTAAGCATTATTCCAATGCCCCATCCCACAAAACACTCTCTCTGTCTCGGAGATTTTTAGGCACCACAACCAAATTAGTGTAAATTGTAACATCTGGTTCGAATTTATCATTCAAGCCATTGAAACGTTAGCTCTTCTTTTTCTAGAGAGGATGCTAACGAATATGCAAAACACAATTTTATCATGAACGCATATATAATCTTCCATTCAGTTAAAGTAATGTATTACCTCCCTGAAGGTAATCCAGCTCTAACGTAATGTCTACTCAAAACCGTGAAGGTCTCCATCAAAATCTCTACGATGAGACGATTAGATTCATAGTTTATTTTGTTTTAAGGATGAGACGATTTCTGGTCGTAGTCGTCAGTTAAAAAAGCTATAAATTGTAGATGAGGGATTCTATGGCGGACGCCACTGCACTTCTATATCACGCATCACAAAAACGGAGGGGGAGATTTGTGAGACGTTGGCGGCAGAAACTTGGGAGGTTTTGAGGGAGAGAGAAGGGAAGGTGAAAGCTAGGGTTTATCATTGGGGTTAGTACAACTTTTGCGGTAATGATCTTTGATATGCAATGAAACTTTTTTATAGTGTGCGTATATTTAGGAGTTAACAAAGATAAGACAGAGAAGACGCGATGGCAGTAGGGGATTCGTCCTTTTCATGGTCATAGGGCAGATGAGTTTCGAGGTGGTGGATGGTTTATTAGAAAAGATACAATAAAGTAATGTGAATTAAATATTTGAATGATGAAGTTGGAATGATTTGAAATTAATATTCTGATTAATTAAAAAGGGAATGAAATAAATCGAAATAGAATTAAAAATAGAAATATTGAAAATATCAATTAATTTGGCTGATGTGTCAAGCTGATGTGGCAAAAGATGGAGTGCTTATGTGTCAAGCTGGTGAGATTCAACTGAGTCTTTATATAATACTAGGTGAAGACCCGCGTGTACACGCAGGTTTATATACTATTTAGATTTTTTAAGTTGTGTTTAATATAATAAGATAAATTTCGTATATATTTAGTGTCTAGGAGTTAAGTTTTGATTGGTAAGAAATATACTTTAACAAATATAACCTAATTCAAGACAGAGGATTGGTTATTCAATGAGTGACAAAATGTTTTTACTATTTAGAGTAATGTGATTTGTTATAACTTTTTCTTCTATTTTTTGAGTATTTCTGTTTATTCAATCTTTTTGTAAACTTCTCATAATAGTTTTTTTACTCTCTTTTACTTAACATTTTTAAATGTAAAACACTTTTCGTTTACTCTAATTATAATTATAAGAACCTAAATTCTTTAATTATTTGTTTCTTAAAAAAATCAAACATATACATGAAAACTTCTTGTATATCCTAGAGGAGAGAGCAGTATCCTTCGCTCTCTCATTCTTTTTGTTAGCCATCTCCTTGGTATATTATTTGTAAATTTTGACTTTCTCTTTGCCCTTTACTTCTTATATTTTTCTCTTTACACAAATTTTTAAAAATGCAGCAAAAAAATAATAATGAGAATGGAGATAATGAAGTACCTTATTAATAGTTAGTACTTTTCTCTCTTAATTTTCCTAGAAGCAATTTTTCCATTGACCACATAATCTTCACCATATATGTATAAACCCAAGAACCTCTTTGTATCCTTCTGATTTTATGCATTGAACTACACAGAAACTACCGTTGGTGTGGTGATATCACCGCCTTCTACTCTGTTATTCCTGGAAAAAAGATGGAACAACCTTCAATTTAATACGCATTGTCGTCTACTTTGGGGCAGTCTTTACAAACGATAAAAGAGTGAAATCTTACCAACTTGAGTGTCAAGTAACAGATAACATTAGCATTGTCTCCTCTAAACAACAAATGGAACTCTCCATCCTTGATTTTTTTGCCTAAAGAGCCACCAATACTCTTGTGGGAATCAGAAACATGTCAACTTTGAGCATCTCCGCCTGGTTTTAAATCACAATCTTCATACTTTTAATAAGCGCAGCATCAGTCTTATTGATGCAGTTGAGTTCAGATTCAAAAATTATTAGCCCAAGTTTTCTCAAAATGACGTCTAATGATTCTATAGTTCCATTACCATATGCTATCTGGTAAGAAAACTTCCATGATTTTAAAATATTTTCAAGGCTTTGGTCACGCATTTCCATTTTCTTGACATCTTTTCATTTGTTGGGATGATTTCTGTAGAAGTAGAAAATTTAAGTACTGAAAATTGGCATATAACAAACTCAAATCAATGACTTTAGATGAAGAAACATTTGAATTAAAAGAACATATTAAAATTCCAAACTCTACAATTATAAAATTCCTCTGGAAAGACTATACAATACATGAAAATATAGTAAGATAACTGTAACCCAAAATGGTTACTTACATAGTTACATCTGTGATTGTAGTTGTAACATTTTCAACTTTAAAATATATAAAAGGTTTATCAATCATACCAACTGGTTATGTTTAAAAATAATCATTTAATTAGCCAAAAAGAATTTTAATAAAGCTTTAAATACTTTATTTCTAATTCTCTATTTTAGTTCGTAAATAAATTTTTAGTTAGTAAATAACTCACATCTCTATTTTGTTAAGAGATTACAATTATAAAGATAGTAAATAATTCACAGCAAATTAATCATCTCAGTTTTACCATGTTATTTCATTAGATGAAGTTTACTATCTTTGTAAAAATTATCACCGTAATAATCAAATTTAAAAACTATCACTATAATAACCATTTTATTCCATCTTTCCAACTTCTAGGAATAAGATTAATGAGATAATAATGAGTGTTATTGACCAAAAATGGACATTTCTTTCTTTTTTGATTTTTGGGATTATTAAAAAATAATATTGGTGTAAATACTTTTTTCATAATAAATTCAAAGCTGATGTATCATAAAGAGAAAAGCTGATGTGTCAAGTTTGTGAGACACAATTCACTCTTTATATAATAGATATTAATATACTAGTGATTCTCACTTGCTCAGCCGTTGCTATATTGGTATAGGCCTTCAACCATAAATTTATTTTATAATTTTCATTTGGTTAGTGGAAATAGCGTTATACTTTAAACTTGTTACAAAGCCGGATGAATGAACGATTACACTCATCTTAAAAAAAATAGTTGGATATACAACAACAAAAAGTTGGGATAAAATCAGATCGAAAGACGTGTTTCAAAAAGCATGGGAACTTTGTCTCATTAAGCATCCTTTCTTTTGAAGAGATCTCCTATCAGCTACTTAATTGTTGATTACGTTTTAAAAGTTTAGAATACCAAGGAAAGTCATGAAAAACGTGGGAACAGTTTTATTATCTAAAAGATAGACGTGGACATTTTTGATTTTATGGATCAATCAGATTTGACTCCTGATTTTCTTATTATTTTTTTCTGTAATGGCGGTTTTATCTTGAGACTGAAAGTGATTGATAACTACTATTGTTAATATAGACGTGGACGTTGTTCCCTTATTACTCAAATATTAAAAAGTTTAGGGACTTTATTAAAAATAATCTTTAAACAATAACATTTAATTTTAAATTAAAATCTGTGTCTGCTAGTGTTTCGTACTTTTTGAGCTGTATTAACATGCGTTACATAAGTTCTTTGAAAGTTAGAAGAAGTCAATTGGATCGATTTTTATTTGTTTAACTACGCTGAAATTTAGATGACACCAGAATATTTCAGAGATTTGTTTTAGTTTTTTATATATAGAATCTCTAGTTTTTAATTCAAGCATGGATATCATCATCATTTTTTATTGATAGTCTGTATAATCAATAATTCATGATGAAGCTTGATTTATGTTCAGTATTCTGTGCTAAATGGATTTTTTTCTTTCTTTTATTATCTTTGCTAGGGTTGACAAAAGCAATCAAAAGACACTATCATGACAAAATGGTTCACATCTATAAATGAAGGCAAATGAAAGAAAAACAGAAAAGAACGTAACTGATGACTTTCTACCATTATTATAAAGTGTAATCGTTTTGCTCATGTGATGTTAAATAGGTACACGTCACAGAATCGGATAGAATTGACGTGCTCTAGACGAAATGAATACAATTAAATTAGAGTAACCAGCACCAGTCACTGCACCAAATGGAATGCGAGAATAAAAGTGCTTATAATGTACACAATCGTAGATTTCGGACCAATTACAAAAATATTTACAAATAATTTTCAGAAAAGAAATACTGAATTTAAAACGTTTACGATAGATAATCGTGATTCAGAAATTTTTAAAAGACGCGCTTTCACACTAACACATCAGTGCATGATAAACAATATCACTATCAAAGAACATATACTATGCATCGTGGGCTTCAGTTGGACTTTCCAGTCTTTTAGGCTTTCGCATAAGTTTTAAGATCACTTAGTATTTATCTTATACCTATACTAACAGGGCTTAATGTATGTTTCTTATCTGGACTCGAGGTTTGGAAATGCTCGCAGCCACCAAACCACCAAATGAACAAAAAGAAGACTTTGCAAGAATGGAACTGGATATGTACGAATCTCGGATCGACTCTGGCCATCAAAGTACTGAGCCTGAAATCACACCATAACCCTGAAACCTGAAATTATGACTAATCTATAACAATCAGTAAATCTTGTTTCACTCTCATTTTGTGTTCAATTGAGTTGCACAGCGGAAGCAACTTAGCCTTATCAATTACTCCTAAACAAACCCAAGGTCGCAGACTTTTTCATATACATATAAACACTCATTTACCTTTGGATCAACCATCCAGGAGCTAACATTGCCATGCCTAGTTGAGACCAGCCTGCCTCTCCCACGTGAGATCAGCCGAGAACTCGGACAATGCGGATCTTGGATCTCCTTCAGCGATGGCCAAGTAGTATAGAGCGGTTCCATCATCAACTTGCATGCTTCTCCTTAGAGAATCAATTAGCCTTCGTTTTCCATGGGCTGTTAAAGTGGACTGCGTACCAGATACAACAGGTTGTTCTCTCTTCGGTCCACCTTCAAGGTAAAGCACGGCTACTTCTCGTTTGGCATATTTGTCTACCTCTATGTAGCAAGTGGTGTTTGCGAGAATTTCGGGATTGCTTATCGGGATAAGCAGTCTGTCTCTTGAGTAAATCCCATGGTCGCTCATCATGTTGTTTAGCCGCTTTATGTCCATAACCTACATTGTCAAGGAAAAGGCGTGAAAGCTCAAGAATTTAGATTCAAGTTAAGGTCATGAATTAAGTTTGTGATGACTGAAAGGAAACAAAAAATACAAAAAACAAAAGTGGTGATACGAAGATAGAGTGACAAATAAAAACTCTAGACATGATAAAAAAGGAAGAAGCACAAGGTAAAAGCTGGATATGGATCTCCAAAGTTTCCCAGCGAAAAAAAAATACATAAGAAATGAAAACCAAATTTATAATATAAGAGCTTAGTGGTATCAAGCTTGTAGAGATGGTTAAAAATTGGAGATGTTAGGAAACTTAACGGAGAGCGTAGACATCTAAAATTATGCACAGGGCATAAGTAACACCTAATGTAACAATCAATTTCCTCAATTGTGAAAGCCTGTGTAAAATGTGCAAGGTAAAACAACCGATACAGCGAACTAGCAATGTTGTTCATTTTCCTTGAAGATTAGAATTCATGGATCCTCACTGTAGAAACATGAAAAGTTCACGTCTGATAAAAAATATTGCCTTTCGACTTACAGAGAGCTTAAGATATGTTCTTCAAGAAACAGATATAATTATCATAGCAATCTCTTGCAACTAAGAAATTACTAATACACGGAGGACGGATGTAGCTAGAGCTAGTTACTAAAGAAACAGTCTATTCCTCAACGCTTTTAAACGAGCCGAAAAGCATGAGATACTAAGAACAGAGCCAGATATTTCATCGTGTGGTGTTAACTCTCACAGTTCCAATTACTACTAAGGAGTAGAAAGAAAGAAGGAAACAAATCAACCAAGAAAAACCTGCTTATGCCTAAAAATAATCGTCACACAAAGTTCAAACAAACAGTTTGTATATCTTTATTAAAAATTTCTTCCACATTATAGATGTACAGACGTATACAGACACATGAGAAAAGAATTTAGCTTCCAAAGTATCTCAAAGCAACTTTTAAACTAAATCAGTCAACAGCACTTCACAGATTCTTAAACCTGACTCTTTAGTTAGATCTATATAGCTCGATAAATCAACAATACAATATCTTTTGTCACATACGCTTAATCAAAATCCCAATAAACTACTGGTACAGCTAGAGCTAGTAACTAAACAAACAGTCTCTTCCTCAACGCTCTTAAACGAGACAAAATGTACGAGATACTAAGAATCAGAGCCAGAAAGAGAAAAAGTAACAAATCAACCAAGAAAACCCTACTTAAGCCTAAAACTTAACGTTACACAAAGTTCCAAACAAACAGTTTACATATCTTAATTACAATTTTCTTCTACATTAAAGATGTACAGACGTTTACAGACATATACGAAAAGTATTTAGCTTCCAAAGTATCTAGAAGCAAACGTCAAACTAAATCAGTCAAAAGCACTTCAGAGATCTACATAGATTCTTAAGTTTGTGACTCTTCAGTTAGATTTAGCAACAATACAATATCTTTTTTCACAGAAGCTCAAACAAAATCCCAATAAACTACTGAAACGTTGTGAATCACATGAATTTCCACAAGATTACGAAGAACACGAAAATTAAGATTACATTTCTGAATCAATTCCTCATATTATCTTGGGGAAAAAAACACGAAATCGAAGGAGGAAGATTGGATTCAGCAGCAAGCAGCTAAATCTCATCTTCCAAACTCAAGAAGTAATTATACATCACATGAAATTTCAAAACCAATCATGACGAACACCAAAACTGAGATAACATTTCGAAATTAAACAGTCATTATCTGGGGAAAAAACTGCAGAGAACACAGCAATTGAATGGGGAAGAAGACGAAAGAGATAAATCGTACCTGGACGGAGTACTTAACGGCGAGGCTAGTCACACTATCACCACGAGAAATCCGATGAGAGATAGCGAATTTCCAGATTCCATTATCTCTCCAGAACGCACCAGAAACCGGTCTCCCGACAAGTTCCATGATCCGCCATGGCGCCGTGAAAGCTTTAACCACTAGATCTTCCTCTGTAGCGACGGAGTTCCAAACTCTGCAGACGCAGCTCGCACGCGCCAGATCGGCGACGGTAAGCCTCTGAAAGATAAGGCGGAGAGTGTCACGGCAGGAAAGTGCCATGAAGTGAGAGTTTAACGGCGAGATCGTGGTGGTTATTTGATCGGCGATGGCGGCGTCGCCGATGAGAGACTCAGTGAGGAACTCGTCGCCGTCGTTTTGATCGCAGCAACAACAGTCCATAGACTTTAGAGGTAAGCAAGTACGTGATACGTGGCAGTCTATATATCCACACTCTCTCCATATTTCGTACAAACTACAACCAATGGAATATTAATAATTTCATTTTCTTTTGTCATATAGTATAATATATTGGTGTTGGAGGTGAAAACCGCACTCCGGTTTTCTCTGGTATAAACCGAGATCAGCGTAATATAAATTTGGTTTACGAAGGAATGTACCGGGAAAATTGAGTTGAGTGAAGTCTTGGGCCGAACACAGCCCATTAAGCCGAGGTCGGCGAGAAGCTTCTCGAAGGATCGGAGAAGCTCCCCGAGTTCGATCAAAAATAGGAAAGCTTCCTATTTGAAAAAGGAAACGAACATGAGAAAAGAAAAGGAACCGAGAGAAAAGGAAAGTCTTCTCGGTCCCATATCGCTTAAGACGTGCTTGAAAACCGAATTAAAGGATATATATAAAGGGAGACGAATCGACACCAGAGAACACAAGATATTCCAGAGAAGACTTAGAGACTGAGAACTCATTACGCTAGATTCTTAGTTTCATAAAGTCTTAGTTCGTCATTATTTACTTGATAACCGAACTCACTTGTATTCATTCGATTCGATCTAATAAAACCGAGTTTACCGATCTAAAAGTACTGTTTTACCCCTTGTCGATATTCACATATCAACAATTGGCGCGCCAGGAAGGGGGACTAAACAGGATTTTCAGTCTTAGATCGGACTTCGGATAGATCGAGTCGACAATGACGGACCAAACCAACATTCACGAGGAAGGAAACCCTCTCGGTGGAGAGAACGTTAACGTCCCAACAGAACAAGGAGGAGGAATTCCCGGGGAAAACGCCGAAACTGTAGCCAGCCAAACCCCCGCAGCCGTAGGAGGATACGGGACTGAATTGCTGCTCCAAGTGTTCAACGCCCAATTTGAGGCCATTAACAAAAGGAGCGAGGAACGTTTCAGTCAGATGGCAGCACAAATCGCCAAGCTCAGTCAAGCACGAACTCCCTTTCGAGTTCGGAACATCATTGACGATCTTAATACTGACGGAGATCCAGCCGAAACTATGAGGTCTACCGCAGTTGGATCAGCGAATGCACCAGCATCGGAGTTAAGCCGAGACGCCAAGTTCAAAGCAATGAAGGCGCAACTTCGCGATATCACTTCGAAGATACATCAAGCAACAAGCGCGGCTCCGGAGATCGAGCGCGTCATTCAGGAAACACAGAAGACACCATTCACACCGCGCGTAGCAGGGACGCCGGTCAAACACATGGAGAAACTGAAGATAAAGGTCTATGAAGGCAATACTGACCCTCGGCACTTTTTGACGTCATTTGGCATCTGCATGAATCGCTACCAGTTCAAATCTGCCGAGGAGAGAGATGCAGTTCAGTGCCAATTATTTGTGGAAAGTCTGGGAGGAGTAGCTCTCGACTGGTTCTCGCGACTCGAGGCCAATTCGATCGATAACTACAAAGAGTTAACGACGGCCTTCGTCAAGCACTTCTCCATGTTCATCGGACAAAACACCAAGAACTCCGAGCTCTGGCAAATAGCCCAAGGACCAAGTGAGAGCCTTCGCGATTTCATCCAGCGCTTCAAGACGATTGTCGCTAATTGTACTATTAGCGATGAAGCCACCCTCTTATGCCTTCAGAAAGGAGCTCGGATAAAGACTAGCTTCCGAAGCGCGATCACGCATAACCCTCCACAGACGTTAGAGGACGCACTACACCAAGCTAATACTTACATCGCCGAGGAGGAAGAAGAAGCTGCTTACGAGCAGAGTTATTCGACAAAGCAACCCGAACGTTCGAAAGCAATAACTAACGAACCACAGTCAGGATACGGCCGAGGATACAAAAATCATAAGAAGTTCTACGCTAATGCAATCCAACAACCGACCAAACAGTGGAACAATAAATGGGTCCGCGGTGAAGAAGATCAGGACGAGTCTTTGTTCTACGAATTCCATAACCGTAGAGGACATAGCACCGAAGAATGCAGACACCTGCGTGAATACCTACTCGGCCAATATCGACAGGGGCCAATCTCAGTTGACGATCTCCGTCGCTTAAACGCGCCCAAGAACAGTGGACAGACCTCGATCGATGATCTCCGTCGTTCAAACATGCCTCGACCGAATAATGCGCAGCTCGAGAACGCAATCACTAAGGATCCACCAACTCCACCAACTTTACCGGCGTTACCACCGCCGCCACCGAATCCGCCTGCTTTGCCCGAACAACAGAAACGGAATCACGACGACCGAGCACAAGAGAACCATGCTCCCAAAGCAAGGAAACGCGTCAACATGATAATGGGAGCCATCGAGACTTGCAGCTACTCGGTTCGAGCTATCAAAGAATACAGTCGACAGGCCGCCAGCGCGCCCAAAGTCCCACAAGATCCGCCGAAGGGGACGCCGTTGGTATTTATCGAAGCCAACACAATCGGGCTGCATAAACCGCATAACGACGCCCTCGTCGTCGAACTACTTCTTGACGACGTCGAAGTTAGCCGCATTCTCGTCGATACAGGCAGTTCGGTCAACATCATCTTCAAGGAAGCACTTGATCAGCTCGATTTATCGTCCGATAGGATTGAGCCTTTTATCGAGCCACTTACAGGTTTCGATGGAGAACGCTGCATGACGGTCGGCATGGTCAACATCCTGATCTACCTCGGTGGAGTTGCAAAAATTATCCAGTTCCTCATCCTCGACAAACCAGCGATCTACAACGCTATTCTTGGTACACCTTGGTTACACGCGATGAAAGCGGTCGCCTCGACCTACCATCAATGCCTGAAGTTCCCGACTCCCGACGGTGTCTACACTCTCCGAGGAAACCAAGCCATCGCTCGATCATGCTACATAAATGAATGCAAACTTTATTCAGCCAACCAAGCTTGTGTCATCAGTTCGTTAGGACCGACGAACGAGCTCGTTGCCCAGCAGACGAAGCCTAAGCAGGAGTCGATCGTTCAAGTTTGCATCGACGAACTGAGGCCAGAGCGTTAAGTTGGAATCGGCGCCGAACTCGACCCACACATCCGCGAGCCACTCGTCCACTTTCTGAAACAGCATTCGTCAACCTTCGCATGGTCGGTTGAAGATATGCCCGGGATTGACCCACAGATCGCATGTCACGAGCTTAACATCGATCCAACATACAAACCGATTAAACAGAAACGCCGAAAGCTTGGACCAGAGAAGGCACAAGCCGTCAATGACGAGGTCGAACGGTTACTTAAAGCAGGATCTATTACTGAGGTCAAATACCCCGATTGGTTAGCAAATCCCATAGTCGTTAAGAAAAAGAACGGCAAATGGAGGATTTGCGTCGACTTTACCGATCTCAATAAGGCATGTCCGAAAGATAGCTTTCCTTTACCCCATATCGACCGCCTCGTGGAAGCAACTGCCGGGAACGAGCTACTCTCGTTTATGGACGCATTCTCCGGATACAATCAGATTCTTATGCATCCGCAAGATCGGGAAAAGACATCGTTTATCACGGATCGCAGCAAATATTGCTATAAGGTCATGCCTTTTGGCCTGAAGAATGCTGGAGCAACATACCAACGGCTGGCGGACTATGGAAGTTTACATTGATGATATGCTCGTGAAATCACTCGTCGCTTCCGATCACGTCGATCATCTTCGCACGTGCTTCGATATTTTGGACCAGTATGGCATGAAGCTTAATCCCACTAAGTGTACGTTCGGCATAACATCTGGAGAGTTCCTCGGCTACATAGTCACACGGCGAGGCATTGAAGCTAATCCAAAACAGATTGCAGCTATACTCGAGCTCCCATCTCCAACGACCAAACGCGAAGTTCAGCGATTGACCGGACGCATCGCAGCGCTTAATCGGTTCATATCTAGATCGACAGACAAGTGTTTGCCTTTCTACCAACTTCTTCGCGGTAACAAACATCTCGAATGGAATGAGAAGTGCGAAGAAGCTTTTGCCGAGCTAAAGAAATAGAGTGAATTACATTATAAGACACTTTCTTCACTTTTCTTACTCGAAAAGGTACTTTGTGCTATTTGGGTACTTTCTCCCATCTCTCCCTTTGTGAAAGGACATACAAGTCCGTACTTTTCACAACATGCTTAAAATTTTACTGTCTTCTACATGATTATTACCACCGCCGGATATCTGTTTTCCGGTCATCCTACAATTCAGTTTAGGGCGAGTAATACTTGAGTTTACTAAATCTTACGAATACCCCGAGCTACTGTTGGTGAAAATCCGATAAGAGATAAATTAATTTCATCGTGTTTGGTTGTAATGTTGGTTTCGAATGTGTATGATGCGTGTAAGTAGAGTGCAATCGATTTCTGGGTTTCGAATGTGTATGAATGTTGGTTTTCAAAATCCGGTCAGATGGATCGAATTGCTGAAGGAATACAGTAATTAGTCAACCGATTTAAACTTATTATGTTTTAATTAGATAGTAATCTGAAGATATCTGATAAACACGGTGTTGTAGCATAGAATAACTGACGCGCGTGCGATAGAAGTGTAAATCAGTGGATGCATTTGAAGGATGTGTTGTGGTGGATGAAGTAGTGTGGATGTAAGTTATCATTATCGGTTATTTATATGGAATGACATCAATGTTCGGTGGATACCGTTTGTACGATGTAAGTTGCTGGATGGAATGTAATGGATTATTTTGGGCTGTAGTTGATTTTTAATTACCCGCCTTGAACTTGAAAATAGACTGGCCCGCTATTAATCAACTTTATACTTTTCCTCACCGTCGGATTCACATTTATTGTTTATAATCGAACGGCTGGGGTTGCAGTGGCAGATAAACGTCAAATCCGTCTGTTTTGGGAACCGGGTAATATTAGGTTAACCTGTTCCATTCCAGCGGACACGTTCGGCGCTGGCGGACAAAGGTTTCACAGGTTTGCCTTCTTACTATTTTCAGTTCTAATGGTGGATGTTTAGGCCGTGGACATCTACATTAATAATTTTTTTTTTTGTGCTTCTCTCGTGTAGTCATGGAAGAACATTGTCTTGTAATATGTGGTGAGTGGAATCGTTCAAGAGAGGGTCTTTGGGATTTCGTTGTGGACAAGATGAAGATGTCTAGAGTAGTATCACTCAGTCCAGGCGTTACTATTGCGGAGTTGAAAAAAAGTGTGTTGAAAGCTTTTTTCGACGATGGTGGAGTAGGTGTTGGTGTAACATTAAGCTACTGGCCTCCTAATAGCACATAATTAGCTACCGGAATATCTACTCCCCCTGTCATGATTACAAACGAGTGTTCTATAGGGTATTTCTTAAAACACTTCAAGGTCCAGAGTAGTGTAAACCTGTTCGCGAGGTTTGAGGGCGACGAGGTATCGATTGGTAGAAACGGGTTTGAAGGTGGTGGCAGTGCTTCTCGGAACACTTTGAGACGAAGAAGCAGTGGCAGTGAGTCCTCGGGTGACCTTTCTGGGTATAAAACCCCATTTCCAACGAGGAAGGGGCCGGTTGATGTCGAGGGTGGTGGTTTTACGTTTAAAACACCACTAGCAAATAGTGGGGATGCAATGTTTAAAGAACCATTTCCAACGAGGATGCGTAAATCAGTGGGTGGTGAAGTTACAGGTTTGGGTAAAAAGCTGGGGTTTTTCCAGGGTAATGGAGCTGAAGAGAGCGTGGAGAGTGGGTTTAAAACCAGTAGCCGTTTTTCTGGTGGCAGTGGGAGTGTGGATGGGAATCCAAGTTTGGGTAACATACCCTTAATGTCGTCAATGTCCGAAGATAGTACAGGTTGCGTCTTTTCGTCGCCAAGACCGACAGTAGATACTGAGGGGACTTCGGAAGAGTACCCACAGACGTCTAGGAAGAGGGAGTTTGTTAGTGATGAAGATATCTTTAAAAGCTAAGAAACCTGTTAAGGTGTCAGCCGAAGGACCAATATCTGATATGGATAACACCATGGACGAAGAGCTAGTCCAACACGCCGTTATGGTAGAAGATTTATTTAGCGCTGGGTCGTGGGAATTGTTTAAACAAGGGTAGTGGGCAAGTAGACGCTGATGGTGCAGTTAACTCAGACAGTGATGATGATGATGTAAGTGACATTGGAGACGAAGTAAATTTTGATTGTATCTCTCATGAGTACGATAAGGAATTTTGGGAACCATTCCTAGATGAACAATTTGGTGGGTCAAATGCTGCGGAAGTTATGTGTGATCCTGTAGATACAGCCGACAAGAAGTGGCGTATTTTACATGAGGGAGAAGTTTACAGGTGTAGTAGCAATGATGCGTTTGACCACAATGTGTATGTGGGTACACCACCACCCGGTGGAATCCCAAAAAACGAAAGTACTGGATGGACGGGAATGGACGGGCCTATTCCACGAACGCCTCATCCACGTGATCTCGGGAGTGTGGAGGACGAGGACTTTGACATCCCGCCTTTGTTCGATGACACCCAGTACGAGACTGCAGATATTCCAGACTTAGACTTGGTGGACGGGGAGGATTGCGTCAGAGTAGGTAAGGTTTATCCTTCGAAAGAGGATTGTCGGATTGCGCTAGCAGTGTATACAATTAAGGAGATGTTTCAGTTCAAGCAGACACTAACCAAGAGGAACCGTTTTGTTTTAAGTTGTGTCGACCCCCGTTGTGACTGGCGAGTTCTTGCAAGGGAAATAAAAGATAGTTCCTATTACGAAATAAGAAAGGCACATCTTGAACACACTTGCGATATTGAGACCAGGAAGGCATTCAAGAAAAGAGCATCTGCGCGTGTTATCGCCGCCGTCTACAAATCGAAGTTTGGTGACCCGGTTAATGGTCCTAAAACAAGGGAGCTGCAGCGGCTTGTGCTCGAAGATCTCCGTGTGAATGCTTCTTATATGAAGTGTTATAGGGCGAAAGAGAGTGCTCTTCTGGGAGTTAGAGGTGGAGACGACGAGTCATACAGTAAACTGCCTGAGTATGTGTACATGTTGAAACATGCAAATCCTGGAACAGTTACGGAATTGAAGACAGAAACAGATGAAAATGGTTTTGAGAGATTTAAGTATGTGTTCCTATCGTTCGGTGCATCTCTGGCTGGATTTAGAAGACTTAGGCATCTAATTGTCTTGGATGGAACTCATCTGGGTGGGAAGTACAAGGGTGTGTTGCTTACGGCTAGTGGACAAGATGCTAACTTCCAAGTGTTTCCACTAGCATTTGCAGTTGTGGATAGCGAGAATGATGCAGCATGGACATGGTTCCTTCAGTGTTTGGAGAGGTTACTTGCTGACAGCAATCGGTTGACAATCATTTCGGATAGACACAGTTCTATAAAGGCGGCGAAGAAATTGGTGTACCCGAAGGCAATTCATGGAGCTTGTATTGTTCATGTTCAGAGGAATGTCACTTCAAGGTATAAGAATAAAGGACTTTCGAAAATGGTAGGAGCTGCTGCTTTTGCATTTTCAATTCCTGAATTCAGGGAGCTCTTCGGGAAAATCAGATCTATGAATGGTGATTGTGCTAGATATTTAGAGAAAATGGGTACATCTACTTGGTCTCGAGCGTATTTCCCAGGAGATCGTTATAACCTGATGACTAGCAACATAGCCGAAACGCTTAACAAAGCATTGAGGGAAGGGAGGAACTCCCCAATCATAGAGCTTCTGACTTTTATCCAGACTATGATGACTCGATGGTTTGCTGCTTGTCGTAAAAAATCTGCTAAGCATCGCGGGATTGTGACCCCGGAGGTGGACAAAGTTATGACTAAGTACATGGAGGTCACAAAAGGAAGCAAAATCAATAGCGTTTCTAGCTGGAGTGTGCAGGTTGTTAATCGTTTTGGAGGAAAGCACAATGTTGTTTTAAATGACCGCAAATGTACATGCCAGGCTTATCAGAAGCTTAAAATCCCTTGTGGCCATGCTCTTATGGCTGCGGATTCTGTTGGGCTTCCTTATGCTAGTTTAGTTGATGATTATTACAAGACGAGTACATGGGTGGAAACATATCAAGGTGTGATTAATCCTGAGGCG